CATTATTTACACTAATTGAATTTGAATTTGATATATAAATTGATTTGAATATAAATTGATTGATTGAAGTCGAATTGTAATTGTTGTATAGTTTGATTTTGTTTGAATTTGGTTTTAACTTGTAATAGAATGAATAATAATAATGAATTAATATAAGTGGATAATAATGAATTGAATATAGTGATTATAATGAAATTTGAACTGTGGTCCGAGACTTAAATAGTCTGCACAAATAGGACACGCCTTTTAGTAAACAGACCCCTTGGTCAACGCTACTATTGTTGCTATGCACCCTTCAGGTACCCAGAGAAAGTCCGGCGTGACGTAGTTGGGAACTCGGACTTTCCCAACATTTGGTACCTACCTGAAGGGTGTAATAAAGACGCCCAAAGCTGTTTGTAACAATTTGAAGTTAAATAGAAATTACAAGATACATTACATGATATACAGTTATAGACAAAAAAAAAATACAAACTAAAATAACTATAAAAAATATATACAAATATTGAACAAATCAACACCGAACAAACATTTCGTTCAAAATTATTTCATAATTAAAGTAGGTACCTAGAATCTTTTATTCACTTACTGGGTAAGTATATGCATACATTCATTTTTAGGGTTCCGTATCTCAAAAGGAACCCATATACGATCACTTCGTTGTCCACCTGTCTGTCTCTCTGTGTGTGTAAACACCATTTTTCCTAGAAACGCGTGGACGTATCAAGTTGAAATTAATGTCAAATACTCAAGTCTGCAATCTTTTGAAGATGTGAAAAAATCAAACTTCTAAGTCAACGCAATCAAAAGATACGACCGATTATGTCGCTTCTTTTGACACTCGCAAGGGAATCAAAACCTAAAGAGTAATAGGGATGATGACAGTAACCAAGAATCACTAAAATTATGATGTAAATTAATAATATAGAACTTAAGTATTCTAAAAAACAATATTTGTTTTTTATTACAACTGCGCTTAAGTTAATTTTAGTAAAAATAAAAGTACAAAACCTGACTATCTGCCATATTAGATCAAACGCCAATAGGAGGCGCGTGACGTCACGCTTTCGTAAACATTCTAACGTTCTGTTTAACGGTCGAACTTGTTAGCTTGTTTTGCTTATTTAGATATTATTTGCTCTGTGGCGAAATAACTCTTATTGTTTTTTTTGTATGTAGATAAATGTTTTTTCTAGTTTTTCTATTTCAAATATTTCATTTCAAATAATATTTCATTCCAAATATTATTTCACTTCAAATATTATTTCAATTCTTTTCAATTTCTTATATTATAAATACTTTGGTTTCCTTTCAATCTAAACTCTATTGTTCTCTCAATCACTTTTACCCAGAATTCCAACTTCAGCTATACCTGCATGCGCTCCCATACTAATATGTATCTGGTTTTACTCTTAATTGCTTTCTCTTTAATTCTATACTGTCTAATTCTATGTATTCCTATAAACTAGTGTCTTCACCCTCTCTCTAACTACTTTTCCTTCTAGAACTTTCTATCAAATTTACGAACAACCCTGTCCTATAAATACTCCAAAAATTCTTATCTATACACAGTTCTCGTCTACCGCCTCTACTACCATTCGTAAGTGCTTCTGTATTCTATTGTTATTCGCTACATTGTTTTCATTTTTGTTGTTATCTTTGTTATTGTTACTGTTTTGTTATCTTGCTCTTTTTGTCACTTTGTTCTTATATGTCTGTTGCATTTTTCCTGTGCCTTTTTGTTACTTGTGTTTTCGTTGTTATTGTTATAAATTGTTATTTGTTATTAGTGTTTTCTTGGTACTTAAATAATTTAACACCAAAAGACACTAAAGCTCCATTTATCTGATTTTTGATAGTTAAAAATTAGTATTGTGTTATTATAAGAGTGCGAAAAAGAAAAGTTAGCTATGGAACAAGGATTTATCAAGGCAAATAGCTCAAATTTGCCAAGGATCGACTTGTTGATGTTGGGAGGTTCACAGAAATAAATTACAGAATTTGAAGATATAGCTGCTTGGTCTCGCCTTGCAAGATTAAGCCACGTATTTCTCACTTTTTTTTTCATTGGAACGTTAATGAACAACTTATTCGGAGTTTTTATCGATGTATTATTACATTGAGGAACCGCACACCATCGATACACATCAGAATTCATGATAACTATCGCTCAAAATAATTAATTTAATGTATCTCAATGCATGTAAACATGCAACGTGTCAACTGTTTACGAAAC